ATTGAACAAATGAAATTTTTTGCTTTTTTTTAGCTGTTTTTATTCATACTAGCAATTTTGTCATTAAATCAAAACTTTTTATAATAAAATTGAAAAATAAAACTTAAAAAGACTTTGTTAAGAAAAACGAAAAGAAAACTTTTCGTCTTTTTAAACAAGGCCTTTGAAAGTTTCCTGCACTCATGCTTAATTTGTTATTGAAGAAGAGTAATTTATCATGCAATTTTTACACAGCACAAATAATTTGAAATATATTAAGATTATGAAAGAAAGAAATAATCTGTGAAAAAATATATATTTAATTCAATTTAGTTCATTTTAATTTTTACTTGTGTTGATAGTTTGAATTTGGCGATATATGATAAAAGTTAACAATCGTCATTATTTCTTGATTTTGTTATTTTATTTCTCCTAACTCTATATTTCATGAATTTGTAAATTGTAAAAAAAAATTGTTTTATAAAAAACGCAAAGGAATATTTGATGCACATTTATTATATATCGCCAAATTCAAGCTATCAACGCAAGTTGAAATTGAAATTCTTTATAGGTAGATTAAACGGAAATTATTATAATTTGTTTGATTACTTGTTAGTACATATTGTGATGACGTCATGCATTAATTAAAAGTAACTAAATTGTTTTAGAGAATATATTTCACATTATGCTATTTTTCTTCATTTATTATCAATAATTTGATGATAAATATTAAAATTTTGGTATGATTGGAGATACTGTATTTATACAAAGAAATATTATAACAAAATTTTATATTTTAAAAATGAACATATGTGTTTTTACAAATTCATTGTATGCAGCTTTATTTTAAACATTTATAAAAATTGTAAATTGAAATGAAAAAAAAATAAAAGCAGTTTATTATAGTAAAATACAATAGTTTATAATAATTTCATCCTATATAATACAAGACAAAATTATCAAATTACTTAAAAAATTTAGAAAATTACATAAATTTTTGAAATTTGTCATTAAATACTGCATGCACATATTTTCATTTGGGAATGATCGTTGGATTTTAATTTTTATTGATGAATTTCTGAAGATATGAAATGAATAAAGAAGCACATAATATTTCAATTTTGTTTAACATTTTTTTGTAAATAATATTATTGAAATTATTGGTGCTTATTGCGTAAAAAACAAAAAAAAAACATGCACATTATTGCACCAAATAAACAAAAATGAAAAGGAAATGCTCTAACAAATTGATTATTACAATTAAAACACGTAAATACATGTAAAAAGAAAAAATGCTTCAATAATTTAAAGTTTAAAGTTCAGAATATCTATAAGCAATTATCATTTTGGCATGTTAGCAATAATAATTTAATAATTTAACAAAAAAAAAAATTATAACTGAAAACAAGAAAACGAAAAAGTAATGGGAAATATAATTACACAATACTTCGTCTCAAACATTTTTTCTGCTTCCACCAAAAATACATTTAATCATTTTTTTTTATAATCAAATCAAATTTAACATTTTCCAAAAGAAAACTTCAAGAACTGTCAATTAAATTTTGAAAATGTGCAATTTTCCCTTATGGCATTTTATTATTTACTTCCTTCAATTTGATACTTTTTACAATCTCATGAATAAATCAAAAATTGAAACCCGTATTTTTGAATTAATAAATGTTTCATCATTTCAATCATTTATTCAGAAATGGTACAATGGCTGCCACTACCATTCATTTGCCTTGGTAAAAGCCGCCTGTTTCAAATGCTGTCACCGGTGATGAGTCATTAATATGACGCGTATAGCTCGTTGTTACTCCGTAATTCTGCAAAATAAAAAGAATAAAAAACAAATAGACAAACAAAGTAATTAATTAACTGATTAAAATTTTTGTTGAATTTAATGCTCTTAGAACTTCAGAAAATTTTTTTGACTCTGTTTTTTTATTTTTTATTTTATTTTTAATAATTTTAACTAATGATATGTTATTTAAAAAAATAAAGTTTACATTAGTGCAGAATGCAAATTTGAAGATTTTTTTTTAAAACATACTTAGTAAGTGATTCTTTTGCTTCACCAATTGATTAAAATCTTTACAACTTATACAAAATTACAATTATTAAATCCATACAAAACCGATAAAGAATCGGTAATTAATCGTTAAAAACATCAGACATAAAATTTGAAAATTTATTTCATAAAATGATAAAATATTTTTGATATATAGCTTACTTTTACGGTGCAAAAATACTTCAAATTATTCCTCCTTATTACTAATCGAATTTTTTCATTTTCATATTAATATATTTCCCATATAAGTAATTCATAATTTCAAACATTACCAAAACATTCTATTTACTTAAAACATTCATCCCTAATAACTTTTGAAAATTTTTTTGAAATTTATGTTTAATTTTAGCAAACTGCAAAATTTTACGCTTGACTTAAAACCTCAAAATTTTTGTTTCGCATTCATTTTTCTTTATGTGAAATTTATCAAACTTATTGCCAATATATTACGTATCTTTTTCACTAATAATAATATTGATCAAATGATGCAATATTATTTTCACAATATTTGAAAATCAAATTTTTAATTATGATAAGCGAGTGATTTGTAAAATTTAGAAAATATTAGTACAATAATTCTTTTTTTTTGAAAAAGAAACGAAAATAATCTATAAAAAAACACGTAAAAACTGGAATTTAAAATTTTTAAATTTAAAATTTAAAAGAAAAAAATGTAATGCATGGATTTTTTGGACCTCATTGGTTATTGCGAATGTTTCGTGATGATCGTCGTAAGATGGATTGATGTAACCGTTGTCTCTTGTCAGGAAGAAGCGACTCAAATTTAATTGTTGTATATCGTAGAGTGTTGCAAGGAATAGCATCATGCATGATAAGCCAAATATCAGATACACTAAATTTTCCATTAATTAATTACGAAAAATTTAGAATGTTTTAATTATCAAAATGTCCATCATTATCGAACAATGGCTCAATCAACAAATATAATATTCTTTTAATTTGGAATTTTCGAAATTTTAACAAAATATTAAAAAATTTTCACAATTAAAAAATATAAACAATTGTTTTGTTTTTAAACTTTTACAGCTATCTTAAAAGATCAGAAATTTACAGCCAATATATGTAAATCAAAAATCGAACTTTACTATTTAATATAAAAGCAGTACTTACGTGTTACCACAATTTTGTAAAAAGTCCTGAATTGTTGATCAGGTTGATCACCTGGTACATATTCGCCTAAAATTCGAATATCACAATTATCATTTTAATGGTACCTTTTATTAAATGTTTAAAAACTTCATGTTGTATTTAAGAATTAAAAAACGAAAAATTGCAATCAAAATTTTTTGGAAAAAATTAGAAATGATTGAAAAAATGAAAAAGGATTAGATTGAAATTTTTGCATATTAAAATTTTTTTGCATCAAAATATTTGAAATTTACCCAAACCGATAGTTGTCAATGAAACAAAGCAATAGAAAAATCCATCCAAAAAATCCCAATCGGTTTCAATTTTTGTAAAAATATACGATGGTATAATGAAGACAAATAATAGTAATAGTGCGGATACAAAACTAAGATGAAATATCTAAAAGTTCAAATGTATTATTAAATTTCTAAATTGACAATCAAAATTTCATTCGAATTTTAATTAAACGTTATTAGTTATATTAGTTTTTAGGATGTATTTTAATTTTATTTAGTAGGAAAATGGTAGTAATTATTAGTTTATTAAATATCATTTAAGATTTTTTCAACAGTCAATTATTCCATCCTTCGATAAAGATTGATAAAGAATAACTGAAGTTAATTAATCAAAAAAAGAAACATTTGCTATTAAAATTAGTTTGCAACTGAAAATATAAATATGACGAAAAACTGTATGTTTAATTAATAAAATGTGTGGCAAAATTTATCTATACGTGTTACGTGAATGTATCAATTATCCAAAAGATGCTTATAAATAAATGAAATCAATATATTTATCGTTAAAATTCGTTTGTTAAAAAAAAAAAAATAAACTACCTGAATTTGCGAATCATGAAATAGATGACCAAGCCTTGCATTAAGTTTGCATCGTAACCAAGCACTTGGCTTTTTCAACCTTACCATCAATGCTGATAATAATGCTAATGTCATCGGTATACCAATCAAACAATAAATTATCGTAAAAAATTTACCTTCACGTGTACGTGGTGATACACGTCCATAACCTGTAAAGGAATTAAACATATATATAAATTTATTATATGTGATGGATTGAAATTTTTACGAGTCAAAAATCAAATTAAACCGTCAATTTAATATGAAATATAATGATCGATCAAGAAGCAAACAATACATACAATCCAATAACTTTGTTGATAAAATTTATACAAACCAACTGTACTAATTAAAGCTCCAACAAAAAAAAATGCTTGGCCAAATGTCCAACTTGGCTCTGTTGTTACATTTTTTTCACTCCATATACCTTTCAATGCCATTACACGAATATCAGTAAATAATTGATCAATATCATTTTCTAAAAAAGATTACGATTATATAAAATATATCGAAAAAATGAAAATATATTAGCATACCTTTAAATCTTTAAAAAAGAAAGAGAACTATAAATAAATAAAAATTGAATATAAAATTTTTTAATTGAAACTACACATACTTTTTAATATTAGCATAGTAAAGTATTGTATGCTAAAAAATACATTAGTATAAATTACTTCTATGCATAAAATTATTAACTTGAATACCTTTAAATCCTGCTTCTTTTAATAATCGATTCCAATTTAATCGAAATTCTTCATACGCTTCCATATCATTTTTTTCCGTTGGACTTTCAATTTGTACAAAAACAATAGCACCAATTAATAAGTAAAAGAATAGTACCGCTAAGCCAATGGCAAGTCTAATATTTGTTTCACGAATTTGCCACGGTGATGCTTCAATTCGATCAATTACCTGTAAAATAAAAAAGCAGAAAGAAAAAAGGCAAAATAAAACAAATCACATTTTCAATTTTTAATTTAATTTCAAGTCTGTTTAATATAATTCAAAAGATTTTTAAAATTTGTTTGTTTCTTCTTCTACCTCAGTTTTTACATATGACTTATTTAAAACATAGCATGCAAAGTATTTAATTTCAAAATCAAACCTTATTATGCAATTGGAACATTTGAAGACCCATATTTTTTCTGGTATGCTTGAAAAAAATAAATTTTTTTTTTCACTCTGCAAGTAAAAATGATAATATCATTGGTGACGTCATTGCAATTAAACTTAATATAACCATTTAATTATTATCACTAATGCATAGTTATAATTACTTTTTAATAGCGTTCATATTCAAACTTCTCGTTTTTTTCACTCATCCCATTGTTATCATAAATTTGATATCAAATAATCCGAAAAAATCAATTATCAAGTATTAACTATCAAATTAAATATAAATGCATGCATAAATAATAAGCAAATATGGAAAATTGCGATGAATGGTAATTTTGATCCATTAGATTAGAAGCAATAAAAAGAAAAAAATTGAAAAAGTCTCAAAAATTTTCTTTCTTTTTTTTCATCATTCATTTAACTCTAGAAGACAGGCCTACACAATTCCAGTGATGTAAGGCCTAAGCAGCCGAAGCATTTAAATGTTTTGCATTTCCTCATCGATGGTTTTTTTTGTGCATCAAAAAGGTTTAAGTGTGTGTTTCTGTCAATCTAAGAATTTGGGAAAGAAAAAAAAACAATTCATTTCGACTGATGCATCCCTTCTTCTGATTTCATTTTTTTTTCTTTTTTTTCTTGATGAAATGGGGACTGCCACAAACTTCAGGAATAAACTAATCGTTTTTGAGAAGGCATCTGCTATGATGTAAAACCTAAAATTGGTATTTGAATTGGTATTTGGAAATGCAAAGAAAAAAAAAACAAGGCAAGGAAAAGATATAAGAAAAGTCGTTGAAATTTTATATTGCAAAAACAAATGGATAAAGAAAAAGTGAAAACGGGCAAATTTAATGATTGAAATGATCGATATCAAAAATTAGAATTTTCTTCTTTTTTTCGTTCCTTTTCTTTTTTATGGTATAAATTTGATCCAATGGAAAGCTTTCATGAAAAAATTTCACAGTTATGGGAGAAAGTAAGCTTTAAATCATTCCGTTACGATTACATTTCCGAATATAACACAAAATTTTTATCATAAAAAAGAAGAAAAAAAAAACAGAGAAAACAGCCCCAAAAATAATATACTTGCTAAACTTTTTGAATATATATTTTTAGGTTTTAAAATTATTTTTTTCCTTCCGTAAAATTTTTTTTTTGTATAAATCTTTCTGTTATTTTTTTGCCAAAATTTTTTGCCAATAAGAAAATTTTATTGCAAATATTTGAATTCACTTTTGAGATTAAATTATTGCACGTTTTTGATGGTAAAGTAAAAAAAAAAGATGTTACCATACATTATTAAATTCAGGAAACATTTTTGAAATTTCAAATTAATAAATGATTAAAAAAAATAATGAAGGAAAAAAATAAGAATAGTGAAGAACGAATTAAAATAACAATAAACAATGCTAAGGGAAAATTTTAAATGGATGGAAATTGGAAAAATAGATTAGCATGGTGTAATTAAATTGTGCACTTCACCTCAAATAAATAAATAATTACGTCAATGTCAGACAAAAGCAATCATTTTGTTTTTGATTGATTGTCATCAATCATTTTTGCTACGATGAAAATTCGACAATTTTTACTGATTTTTCGTAATGTGAAAGTGAAAATTGAAATGATTGGGCAATGTTGAAAATTTCCCTAATTAAACGCTATTTTTAAAATGGCTCATGAGAAAAATTCCAATGTGAATTAGAATGAATTATTTTCCATGAATAAAAATTATTCCGAATATTCCATAGGAAATCATTTGAAGTATTGCCGATGAAGTTATTTTGAATATTTCTGAAGAAGACTGTCTCAAATATTCTTCAGGAATATTATTCGGAATTTTCCCACATCCGAAAAAAATTATCCTAATTTTTTCCTCTGAAAAACCAACCTAAATATTTATCAGAAAAATTAATCTGAATATTTCTGAAGAAAGCTATCCCAAATATTACTAAAGAGAATTATTCCGAATATTCCTGATAAAACTTATTTCAAATATTCATAAGAAAAGTTATCATTTTCCTGAGGAAAGCTATGCTGAATATTCCTGAAGAAAACTGTCTCGAATATTTTAAGAAAAGATATCCTGATATTCCCGAGAAAAATAAACCGAAATATTTCAAAATACTTCAAAAATAGGAATAGGACGAAGAGCGGCTGTCTAACGGAATTATTATGCTAGAATTATTATGCTCATTACTGGGACATCAATCATCCACTTGGCCACAGAAAGAAATTTTGTCATCTCTTTTTCTGGTATATTATTCTAAACAAATCTAATATGCAAATTTAAATCTAATAAGTTTTTTTATTTTGCCAATAAAAAAGATTTTTCTTCTTTTTCATTCTAAAATTTTTCTCATTCAAAATATAATTAATTTTTTCCTTTCATCATTTTTTTAATCCAATTAATTTGAAAAAAAGCAACTTTTCAAATTATTAAAATTTCTTCTACTTTTTCACATTTTTAAATTTACAAATTGTTTCGTCATAAAAACCCTCTTCCGTTTTCATTTTTTGAAATTTTAAATTTCTTTATAAAAATGATATCCAAAAAAAAACAGACTTTCTTCTTTTACTGTCTTGTTTTGTTTTATTACTTGAATACAGGTATTATGAGAAAAGTAAAAATTGCAACTTAGTACAAGATTTTAAGTATGAATTATATCGTGCAACAACTCAATGATTATAAACATACAAATATAATGTAACGGTCAAATTTTATAAGATAAATAGTATGGACTTTCTTGTCTTACTGCAGTAATATTTTGCCAAGTACCAGAGATTAAATTTTCGACAATTCTTATAATCAGTATTATTCTCTTCTGATTATATCAATTATTTCAATTTCTGTAATTGATATATTGAGTAGTAACACCATGAAAAACATGAAATACATCGATTGTAGTAGAAAAATGAATATTTTTACTTTTGCACCTTTCAATATCGTATTTAACGAGTGCAAAAGCTTCATAATCATTTTAAAATAAGTAAAATAAAATTAAAGTTTTACTCGAAATTATGAATTAACAATAATATTTCTATGCAGCATTTGCACAGCTCATAATTTATCTAACACACATATACGCACAGAATAGCAAAAAATCCACATTATCAATTTCTTCTTTTATTTTTAAGTTTTAAATTTTGAATAAAAAATAACAAGCAAATAAACAAACAACACAAAAAAAATGTGAATTATTATGTTTGTAAAATAGCAAAAATGATCGAAGGAGAAATTTTCTCCTTTGAATTAGGCTTTTCAGTTAGATATAAAATATAAATATATGGAGAAGTATTTGCTCTTTGGTGGATTATTCCGTCGGGAATTAAACGATCATATTCATCTTATCCTATTCCTATCATTACATTCCTCTTCAGCTAAATCCATCATCTTTTTTCCCCCTTTTTCTCTTCTCTCTTTTTATCATTCACTATTTCTTGCCAAAAAGAACAAAAAAAATTTGATAAATTATAAATTAGATATTCCAATTCATATGAAAAAAATATCTTGGAGTGTAAATAAAAAGAAATAAAAGAAAACAGAATTGTTTTTTTTTTGTTTACAAGTTACAATTAATCATTGTTTGCTATTATTTTGGAAATTTTTTCACTTGAAATAGTGATAAGAATTTAATAAGCTATGGACTAAATGCTTCAGTTTAAATAGGTGACAAATTTTTTCAATGTATATTTTAATCACAATTATTATGTTCCAATTTAATTAATTTTAATTCATATTTATAATTGGGATATAATATAGATATTGCATATGAACGTTAATATAATTAAAAAAAGAAAGCAAAATTGATATGTGGAAATTTTAAAATTTTACAAGTTTTGAGTAAAATTTAAAAATAAAACGGAAAATAAAGGAGAAATTTTACCTCTGTGAAATAATGCTTTACAGGTTTAGCAGAAATATGTTAAAATTTATGCAAAAAATTTATAACGAAACGAAATAATATTTCGGTAAATGAAATTTTTTTTTTTTTAAGAAAAAATTTAAAAATGAATGAATTTTTTTTGTTGACATATTGCTGAGTTTAGCTCACTTTTCCTCTATTTGTTTTTTGATAAATTTAAGAAAATGTCAGACAGAAATCAGTCAATAAATGTGCAACTGAACAAAACAATTCAGTCCAAAATACTTTTGTTACATTTGATGGACAAATATGCGCATTGATAATTTCAAACAGATAAGAAACACTTGAACTTTCTTCTTTTTCTTCATTTTTTTTAAGATTCAACTGACTTGACTGACATTTCAAATTTCGTCAAAATAGTATTCAATTATTATTTAAAAATCTACAGATAAATGAGGACTTTTTTCTTAAATAATTTTTCCTTTTCAAAGTATAAGCTTAAAATAGTCATAATAGTTGTAAAATTTTTTTATTTACTTAAACGTTAAACCTTTGTAATTTTCTTTTTTTTTCAAACGCTGCAAAAACAAAAATTTTATGAGATACTTACATGAAAATCTTCTGAATGCTTAATTTTAAAATGGATTTAATTCATTCTCAAAAGTATTTTACTTGCTTTTAACCATTTTATTATGCTTTTTCAAATGAATTTTGCATTATTTAAATGAAGAAATCATTGCATATGGATGAAATATGTAAAAGCAATGTTACTGCTATAATAGCTAAAAAATATGAGAAAAAATGAAACAGATATTTGAATAAAATAGAAAAAAAAAGAATGAAGAAGAATGAAATGACAATTTATCCAACCGTTTCATGTAATTAGCTAATTAGCAATAATACGAGGATAAAAAGAACAAAAACATCGATTAACAAAGAAAAAAATTCTAATAATTGTAAAGATATAAATTGATAATTATTAGCTATCAATAATTAATAAATATTGAAAAATGGTTAAAGCTTCGAAATATTCCGATATGTAGCTAAAACTATGATTTGATGATGAATAAATTTAATTAAAAAATTAAAAAAAAAATCTTTTAATTTCACTACCTCACTCTCTCTTTTATTCTCTCTCCCAATATACCTTTCCCTTTCT